AAGGAGGCTCTTTCCCATCCTAGTTGGCAAAAAGCAATGGAGGATGAAATGCATGCTTTGCACTTGAATAATACTTGGACACTTGTTCCTAAGCCCGCAGGTGCACACATTGTTGGTTGCCGATGGATTTTCACAGCGAAGCAAAATCTAGATGGTACTGTTGACAGGTTAAAAGCTCGTATTGTTGCTAAGGGCTTTACTCAAACCTATGGTCTTGATTACACTGAAACTTTTTCTCCTGTGGCCATGCTAAACTCAGTTCGTATTATTATCTCTCTTGCTGCAAATCTTGATTGGCCCCTTCATCAACTTGATGTTAAGAATGCCTTCTTGCACGGAGATTTGAGTGAGACAACGTACATGGCTCAACCACTTGGGTCTGAGTCCAAGGGGGAGTGTGTTTGTCATCTCCATAAATCTATTTATGGACTCAAACAGTCTCCTCGAGCATGGGTTGACAAATTCAGCAAAGTTGTGGTTACTCATGGAATGACTAGAAGTCAGGTTGATCACTCGGTGTTCTTTAAGAAGACAAAACATGGTATTGTGATATTGGTCGTCTATGTGGATGACATTGTAATTACTGGAAGTGACAGTAAGGGCATTCAGACTTTGATTAGCCATCTTCGTTCAAACTTTCTTACTAAAGATTTGGGCAAGCTTCGTTATTTTCTTGGTATTGAGGTTGCGAGATCAATGAAAGGCATTTATTTGTCTCAACGGAAATATGTTCTTGATATTTTAAGAGATACGGGTCATCTTGGAGCTAAACCATGGAGGCTAATCAGAAATTGATGTCTGATGTTGGTGACTTAGTTGATGATCCTAAGATGTACAGAAGACTAGTTGGTAAGCTAATTTACCTGACTATCACTCGACCAGATATTTCATATGCAGTTAGTGTGGTAAGTCAATTCATGTCCCTCACATGAATGCAGTTATAAACATTCTAAAGTACCTCAAAGGTGCTCCAAGCCGTGGTCTTCTTTACCAATCTTCAGGACATCTTCGCATTGAAGGGTATACTGATGCAGACTGGGCAGGTTCTCCCTCAGATAGAAGATCAACTACGGGTTATTGTACTTTTATTGGGGGTAATCTTGTGACTTGGAGAAGTAAGAAGCAATCAGTTGTTGCTCGATCTAGTGCTGAGGCTGAATATTGTGCAATGGCTCACACAACTTGTGAGCTAACTTGGTTGAGAAGCCTTCTACAAGAGTTTGTAATCTCAATGTAAGATCCAACTCCTCTCTACTGTGATAACCAAGCCGCCATTCATATTGCTAGCAATCCAGTTTTTCATGAACGGACAAAACACATTGAAGTGGATTGTCATTTCATTCGTTCTAAGGTGGCTTCAAATGAGATTGTGACTCCTTTTGTGCCCTCTCGCAATCAGCTAGCTGATATCTTCACTAAAGCTCTTCCAAAGAATGCATTCGACTCTATTTGCAGCAAGCTGTGAGTTGTTGATATCTACTCTCCAGCTTGAGGGGGAGTGTCATGAATATAGGCTGTTTACAGCTTGTAATTAATTAGGAAAGTTGACTATTCTGCTACACGTAATCTGCTAGCTTGATTATAGGAATATTCTGATGCATAAAATCTGCTAACTTGATTATAGGATTTTGATTAGCTTAATTTATGGTATTGGCTAAATTAATGTATTGAGTGTATGTCTTGGGTTCCTATATAAACCCACATGTACTCACATCTAAGTCATATACAAGAAATCTTCTCTTCTATTTTCTTGCTCTTATTTACAACAATAGCGAATCCTGCCTTTGCCACCAATGAACATCTTGGCAGACTGTGCCCAAATCAAACAGTTGGAACCATCCAACTTCACTCTCGTGATTTGAAGTCCTGGATTTTCTGATGAGTTAGTAGGAAAAATAGCACCACCACCCACAGAACTTGAGCCAAGAGAATTAACAGTCAAGGACCCTAAATCTGCCATAATCTGTCACACGACAATAAAAAAAACTCCAAAAATATCACAAATTCTATTAATAAATCAAAAGGTCTCCTCAGACCATAAACAATAACAATGTCTCCTCAGACCATTCCCGAAAAATCCAAATACATACCTTTTTTAAGGAGCGTTGCCCGCTTACATATAGCCAGACAACCTCCTTAATATCCGGAAGCTCTTTGTAGACTAAATTTTTTTTTTACGCAAGCCCTTCTAGGTGTTGGAAACCAATTCTCCCAATTTACCCAACCCTAGAAGAGTGAAAAAGAAATCGTAAAACTTAAAAAATACCTGTTTTCTATCACAAAACAGCAGCACAGAAAAACATGTGTAGGCAACGTCACACGATGTCACAAACGGCCTAAGGTAGCTGTCGCACAAGTAGCAAGGCTGCTGAAAGATGTGGAAAGGTGTTGGCTCTGATACCAAGTAGAAATATATAAAAAGAAGAGAAGGGAGAGAATTGCGTAAAGGCTTGAATGATATGAATTACTCATTCACAGCTCTAGTATTTATAGTTAAAATGAACACAAGCTCATATTACAAGAAAGGAAACTAAATAAAATCAAAATCAAATCATTATTCTAAAGCATATTCTATGGCATATTCTATAGCATAGTCAAATCTCTGTTATTATGGTAAGTCATACCATAAATTGTGGTATCATATATGCTAACATATGTATAGTTAAATCTCTGCTATTATGGTAAGTCATACCATAAATCGTGGTATTATATATGCTAACAAACACCAAATCTTCAATAATAGGAAACAACATCAATTACTGAAAGATTTTCCTCTACTGATTCCTCCATTAAATCTTCAATACATTCTAACACCAAATAATTAGTACCTCAATTATACACCATAAACTTGTTAACCATCTTGATTAACATTTTAGTAAATTTCCACTTATCTCACATGAGCCCCCGGCTCCCCTCAAACAGGTGACCCACTTTCAAAGTCATATCCTCACAAGAGCCCCAGGCTCCCCTCAAACAGATGACTTCCTTAGCCAACAAGGTGATGTGCATCGCATAGTCCCGAACTACCGAAAAACACACGTGGCTGTGTTTGTACATCTACTCACTTAGATGGTCCCAGACCACGTTCATATAATAAGGACACTTTCAACCCAATGGCCACAACAGAAGGGTAGTGCACTCCCATAAACAGGTCTCGAACCATACCTAACAAGGCCATCATTGGGTTAATCCTGAAGTATCCCTCGAGTAATCAAATAATCTCCATGAATAACTAAATACACTGATCTATTTAATAGTTCTTAAACCATCACTAATTTGCTTTCTTAAACCATTGGGTTAGTCTTTGATCATTAATATATTTGAATCTATATTTATGTGTTAATGATTCATGAGTTATAACTCATGATTAATGATTTGGTATGATTTATGGCTTGGAGGACTTGGTTTTGTCGTCAAAATTTGATTTGAAAAGCTTCCTGGGTTGATAGCCGGTTGAAGACCTGGGAAAAGGAATTAAGGTTAGTGACTGATGAGGTCCCAGAACGTGCAAGCCAAGAGCGCATGCTGGCTATTGCGTTGGTTGTTGAGCAACAGATTGAGTCCACTAGACTCCACTTGCCTAGTCCAAGATATTGAGCCCAATTTTAGGTCGATTTGAATACTTGAATAATAATTCAAGTGTAAAAGCACATTAGTGATGGTTTAATAACTATTAAATAAATTAGTGTAAGTTATCCGTGGAGATTATTTGATTAGTCGAAGGGATACTCCGGGGCTAACCCCATGATAACTTTGTTAGGCATGGTCTGGGACCTACCTAAGGAGTGCACTACCCTTTTGTTGCAGCTATTGGACTAAACGTGCCTTTATTATGTGGACATGGTCTAGGACCATATGGGTGACCATTTGGGTAAGTAGGCATACAAACCTAGCCACAAGTTTGTTTTTGGTAGGCCGGGGCTATGCAATGCACACCACCTTGTTGGCTGAGCAAGCCACTTGTGTGTAATTAAGATACTAATTATCTGGTGTTAGAATGAGCTATAATAATTATGAGAAAACAATTATTGTATGAAATGAGATTATAGTAAGAATGTGTTGTTTGCCCCAATTGTGGTTGTACCCAATAATAATTAATAAATTTTAATAATTATGTAATCCGACAATGAGAGTACCTAATTATTGATTATATGAATGTGATTAATGTACCGTTCATGGGTTGCATTTATCTATGGGAATATAAGGTAAGGTTGACTTATTGGACGATAATTGTGCTTAGCAAGAAAGAGCTTGTGAGCTCACATTTGTAACAACTTTCAAGTGCCTGTTGATTAAGCATGGGAAGGAGGCTCAATGGAGAGATGAAGATTTCCGAGATGTTTTTTACTTTTTTAGTTAGTTTATTTTGTTCCTTAATGAGAATTTTTGTAATAAGGGTTCACCTTAGTTGGTCAAATTCTTTTTCATTGGTGTTGATATCCTAAATTTGTTTTGGAATGATGGAACTTTTGAAACAATTGAATTTTTTTAAAATTAATTGTGGATGATTGCGGCGAATGATATGCGTGAGTAAGCACCTCATTTTAGCACTAGACAAGGTTTCTTGTGTTCAAATTTTGGGAGATGTTATCAGAAGCAATCCTCAGCCGAAAATGGGCACATGCAAAACAAGGATGCTAGGTCCCAAGAGGGGCTGATTGTGACATCCCATATCGCATGGGGTAAAAAATTGTTTGAGACTTATATGTGCGGGCACCCCTAAAACATGTGGACGCGTTTTGAACAAAACCGCAAGTGTGCAAAGCGGACAATATCTACATGGTGCGGGGCAGGTCATGACAATTGAAATGAGTTTGCAGAAGATTATGGACATACAAATGCACCCTTCAAACAACTATCAAATTTCTTGCCATACATAACTAAAGAAATCTTCAACAAATTACAATGATGGTTACCTCCATAAATTAGGTTAAAAAAACAATCCCAAAGTAAATAATGATTCGATAATTCATTTACAGAGGAAAATAATTTACGGCTACCTCAATAATAATGGAGACGTTTAAACTGCTTTTTAGACTACTCAAGTATGTCTCTGAATGCACCTGCACACGAACAACAAAAATTACTTAGGCACAAGGAAATTGTTAGCATATTGAATATAACCTTCAGTGCTCATCCAATATTAGAAGTTTATCTTCAGTGCTCATCCAATATTGAGAAGTAAACCATGAAGGGGTTATCTACTCAAGTACCCCACCAGCAACTGGGGAAGAAATATATATATATATATACACACACACACACACTGACAACAAAGAACATAATCTATAAGGGACAACCAAAAAAACAGAATTTCAATACTTAACATGCAGGCAACCAGTTGGGTGTTCTATGAAACACAATATAGGCGCAATTGGACGGAACAAACAAGACTAAGTGAAGCCATCAAAAACTGAAGTGCCTCTGTAAGTTGTACTACTAAATAATGTAATAAGAAAATTGTAGATCAACTAACACAGGCATTATATACATTTTGAGTCTCATAGTTGTCTGTTACCATCATCACATGTGGTTGTGCACTTATGCATGCGCAAAATAAATAAATAAATAAAAAGGAGAGAGAGAGAGATGCGCACACACACACAGAGAAAGGATTGATTATTAGGTAGTTAGTATTAAATGAAAACACATGAAAAGGCTTAAGCTCATAAAAATCAAATGAAAAAATACAGCATTCTTCAAGTACTTGAAATTTAAAAATACGAAAAATTAGTTATTATAAGCTTAATGGGTACCACTAGGAGATCATCCTTTGTAGCTTCTAGAGGCTCAACTATTTGCTTTTTGTCCAAAACACCCTCCACAATGAGGAACCGGCATATGCGACCCCATTTAGAAGAATCAAACGGATGCCTACATTTATTAAAATCAAATAGCAAGTAAACAAAAGAATTAATAACCAACTCATATAAACTATACAAACTTGAGACCAAAAATCAACTCCAGTTTATATAGCACGATCACCAAATGTCTTCACCAAATTTGTCATTTCACAATTACATCAACAAAGAAAGTAAAGATAGACTACTAACATAAGAGAAAGAAAATTTATGACGTCCCACTGCAGCAAATAATATATGCACATTGCACAATGGGTGAAAACAAGTCATAATAGTGAACCCATGAACCAACATACCATATGATTTCGATTGTTACATTCTTAAAAATGTCACATCTTTATTGAAGAGTTAAATTACTTTTCAAAATGATGCATGTCAGAGAATGAAATAGTCAAGTCCTTATAGTTTTCAACATGACTTAACAAAACTCAACTCAACAAAGCCTTCTTTGTGTATTTGGGATCAGTTACATTGAGCATATTTTTCCATTCCTCTATGCTTGGGGCAACAACTTCAATTAAAATTTAAAATACACTTTAGCATATATTTCTTTAGTATCTTTATCCAAGTTAATTATGGCATTCCACTTCTATCATTTCCAAAAATGTAGTACACATCACTTTTGTTGGTCTTCCATGAGCATCACTTTTGTTGGTCTTCCATGAGCATAACCATACATCTCTATTAGTTTCTCTCAAATTCTACATCTGCCATCCTTCATAATAAAGTAAACTATATACTATATATTTTTAACAAATGCTATACTTATAAAAAAAAAAATTTTAAAATGCTTAGTTCACTCCCCGCGGGATAAATGAGGTAACGAGTTAGAATGATATCACACTAATTTAAATTCCAAAAAGAGTTTCAAGTTTTCAAATGTGTCAACTTTAGAACTTTCAACTCATTTGAAATTCCTGAAAATGTTGAATTTTGCCTTAACGAATTTTCTCAATGTTCCTATCAACTTGAAATTTGACGTCAAACTTACACCCAAGCATTTCCCCTTTATATCTAATCAATTATATAAGTAATACAGAACTAACTTACATTTATTCAGATCTCTTCAAAAAATCTATTATCTACCACAATTAATAAAGGACTGAATTCAATTTCAAAGTAATTACTTACATAAATAAATATCTGCACACAAAATAAAATTAGTAAAGGGTCACATTTAATTTCAAAGTTAATTACTGGCATACACACTAATATACACATAAAGCAGTAAACGGCCATATTCAATTTTGAATTTAATCACCAACATACATATATATACACACATCCATAATAGTAAAGAGCTGCATTCAATTTCAAAGCCAATTGATGGCATATATATATATATATATACACGAACGTATATATATTGAGAGAGGGGGGGCTTAGATTTCTTACAGTTTCTCAATGCCAAGAAACGCGATATCGTAGGAAGGCGAGTAGATTAGAGGAACCTAATAGAAGAAAATTAATCACACAGTTCAAATGAGACGAATCGAATTTCTAGAAAATGTGGACTGGAGCAATTACCTTAGACGGAGACACGTCGAAGTAGATCTTGCTCGATAGAACTCGATTTCGCCGGAGAGCTTCGGCGTCAGTTGCGGAAGTAGAAGAGGCCGACGAGGAGGAGCCACCGGCGGCGGTCGATGATACGGTCGACATGGTTAGAGATAGAAAAAAAAGGTTGATGATACGATGATCATAGGTTCGGTGGGTCTATCGAGATACCTCCTAAACTTGGACACTCCTGGTGTGGGACATAATCGCACGTGACGGACTTGAGGGTGTATCACGAAAATACGAAATCAAAGATTTAAATTAGACTTACTCCGGGCGGCATGCTTGGTTTCTAATTCGAGAATTAAAAATAATTTTTAGAAAAAGACAATTCACTGAAAAGAGACTTATAATTGAATTTTTTAAAAATAATTTTTGAAAAATTAATTCTAAGTAAAATTTTTTGTACAGTTTTCTACTCAGAATTACAAACCAAACAGGCCCTATGAAAAAAATTCTTGCTTTCATCCCAACTTTTTTTGTTCTTTTCTTCTAACTAAACATAGAAATTCTTTTTTTTTTTTTTCTTTTATCCATAATTCCTCTCTTCCATCTTTACACCCAACCAAACAAAAACATTTATCTCTGCAATGGTTTTACAAATACTAACACGCTATACATTTTATAAAGTTCACATTTGATTTTTCAAATTAGTGACCATATCTATATGATTCATGATTTGCGAATTAAATTAATTTTTTGTGTTTACAAAATGTATTATATAATTATTTTATTGTTGTATATTTGCCTTGTGGTATTGATCTTTTGAAATATGTGTATTGTATTAAACGATTTTATTCATGAGCTGCTACCTAGTCCAATCAAGGCCCAAAATGATTGGGCTGCCGAATTGGTCTGGATATCCTTCTTCCATTAGCACTCATAACTAGATCCGGGGGTTTACCTTGATTAAACACAAAATTTAGGGTATGTTGGAAATTGGTTTTTCAAACGTTGTTTTTGACTTTTTGAATTTCGAAGTTGTTTTGAGTGGTGTTTGGCTATTTTTTTAAAATAGCTTTTGGGCCTTAGAAAAACATTTTAGAGAAGTTGGGGCTCTAAAATGATCTTTTACAGAAATAGGAAGTTGTTTATGAGTTTAATAAAGAGGGGAGGGACAAGCTCTCTATTTTTTTTTTACCTTGATTAAACACAAAATTTAGAGTCTGTTTGGATTGGTTTTTCAAACGTTGTTTTTGGCTTTTTGGACAAGCTCTCTATGTTTTTTTACCTTGATTAAACACAAAATTTAGGATCTGTTTGGATTGGTTTTCAAACGTTGTTTTTGACTTTTTGGACTTAGAAGTTGTTTTGAGTGGTGTTTGGCTATTTTTTTAAAAGAGCTTTTGGGCCTTAGAAAAACATTTTAGAGAAGTTGGGGCTCTAAAATGATCTTCTTTTACGGAAATGGGAACTTGTTTACGAGTTTAATGAAGTTTTCAATATACCAAGTGTACCCTTCTATTTAGGTAGTGAGAAAATAAATTTACAACCTATGCCATTATAAAATACGTCTTTTTCCTAAACCCCAACGAGAACTCAAACGATGATTTTGATAACTCAAGCACAAGCAATCTTCTTTGAAAGACGAACGATTTCGACAACTCAAGCAGAGGGGATCTTCTTTGAAATTACATTGTTTCCTTTACTTTTATTCAGGTCTGCTACACTTTTTTTTTTATTCTCCTTACATTGGTATCAAGTTAGTACCCTTCTATCTAGGTAGTGAGAAAATAAATTTACAACCTATGCCATTATAAAAGATGTCTTCTTCCTAAACCTTAACAATGACTCAAACAAAGATTTTGACAACTTAAGCACCGACAATCTTCTTTGAAAGTATGAACAATTTCGACAACTCAAGCAGAAGGGATCTTCTTTGAAATTACATTGTTTCCTTTACTTCTATCGAGGTCTGTTGCACTTTTTTTTTTCTCTCCTTACATTGGTATTGTTGAGGATGGATTCTGCGCAACCCAGATCTGATCTGATCCAATCCGACTTCCTGAACAGAGAGAAGAAAAAGTGATCCTACAAACACCGGTGTGTTACCAGTGGAGTAGGCTCCGACGAACAAGTCAGTGGACGGAGTAATCTCTTCAAAGAAATCAAGAAATTGAGTTAGGGTTTATTGCGTACCTCCAAACGTTGATTACCCTGCCTTTTTTATAGGGCTTAGGTTAAGATGTCATGTAGAATTACCTTATTGTAATCTGTAGACTTAATCCTCATCGTAATCTTTAATCCTTATCACAATCTTTAATCCTTATCGTAATCTGTAAAGCCTATCTCAATCTGTAATCCTTGTCGTAATCTGCAGAGCCTATCTCAATAGTGCGTTAATTTAGCAATCTTCCCTTAATTGTGGATATTTAAATTATACATCCATCAGGTATCAAGTTAGGTAATCCGGCAGTGGAATTTACAAACCTTTTATTTATCAAAGAAAATATATATATATTTGAGAAGTCACTAAAATTTTGAATGCCTAACACGGTATACAGAGGTCAATATATATATATCAAGGGTTTGGTCCTTTTTGTTGTTAGGTGTTCTTTGTGCCTATTTGGTATCCTCTTTTATGACATTATTGTGTTATGAGGAGTAAATGACCTAATTTAATACTCCTAATTTTAAAAGGATAGTCTCGGTATTTATTTAATTCTTTTTATTGCACTTTATTTGATTTAATTGTTTATATGGCTAATTGTTTATTTGTTTAATTGATTTAAATTATTTACATGCTTATTTGCAATATTTGTTTAAATTAAATTGAGTGTTAAATGATGTTTATTAAATTGTTGAATGTTAGGTGCTTACTTGTAATTATTTATTATGAATTAAATAGTTGCTTTTATTTTTATTTTAATAGATATGGATATTAGTAAATGGACCATCCACTTGAGTCTTATGGACCACTTGAATAGGAGGCTTAGTGGATACAAATATAACCCATGGATTGTTATACATATATATGGGTATATATGTGTATATATATATATATATATATATATATATATATATATATAGTTATAATATTTATTAATTATTACTAATAGTTAATATTATTTTAACTAAAGTCAGTAATTTGGTGTGTATATATATATTTATAATGTTTTTATATGCATATCTATATCACGTTAGAAGTAGCATAATATGAATATATCTTATATATATTTTATAGTTTTAATTCTTTTCTTTTCCCTTAAGATAGTTGACTTAATTAGTATTTCATTGGGATTAGGGTTAGCTTATAGTATATATATATAAGGTTGTGTCTGCCAAGGGTTTTTCACAAAACCCATTACGTAAACAATAGAGAGGGACGAAAAAGAGAGAATGAAGAGAGGCTTGGCCAAAGGAGACTGAAGGCCGAACCTTAGGAGTGAAGGAACAAGGCTGTTAGTTGAA